GATCCGCATTGAGCGTTAGGTGTTACCAGTAGTTATCTAGATTTCCCTTCTGGGCTAGCTCACACTCGTTGTCAAAAATTTTCTCTCTGCTTGTTCGTTGTGTGTTTTCTTATATACCTATGCTCTCTCTGACTCTGAGTTCTTTTCCTCACCGTTAGGAAAAGTTTCACTCAGAGTAAGTTCTTCTCCTCCAGCACATTGTATACCGCATCAAACACTCACCTCTCCTTGCTAGACTTTCCGCTTGCTTTTACTCCTGCTCTGTTGCAGGTAAGGCGTCGAGTTCTCTCCGCCCTTCTTATCTTTTATAAGTCTTTTCGAGTCTTTGAGCTCAATCATCTCACCTGTCTGTCCAGGTGAATACTTAGCTCTCTTTACTCGATCTTTCTCTCATTTATTATGTTTACTTGGAATATATATGACCGTTAGGAAAAGTTTCACTCAGAACTTTCCGCTTGCTTTTACTCCTGCTCTGTTGCAGGTAAGGCGTCGAGTTCTCTCCGCCCTTCTTATATTTTATAAGTCTTTTTGAGTCTTTGAGCTCAATCATCTCACCTGTCTGTCCAGGTAAGGCGTCGAGTTCTCTCCGCCCTTCTTATCTTTTATAAGTCTTTTCGAGTCTTTGAGCTCAATCATCTCACCTGTCTGTCCAGGTGTGAACATCAGCTCAAGCGCGTAGAATTTCATTCCGCGTTCTGTTATTTCACCACCATGTCAGTCACCTTCATGAAATAACGACCCGTCCAAACTCGTATGCGTTACTGACACATTCCAGCAGGCATGACATCACACCCCCAACGTCATGGGCCGACGCGATATCGTTGCAGTGTTTGCCCAGGAGGACACAGCATGAGGACGTTGTACCCTCATGCTTCTTCCAAGGCTCATCTGGACGCAGTACAGCAATTCATCGTTCAACGCGACCTGGATAACGCTTACCGTCAGCGCTTGGAAGAAGATAGACGACGATCTGCATCACCGCAATTGGCAAATGTCAACCAACGCTTTGATTCTACCGTTGACATCGAACTTTCCGATCCACCATCTCCCCCTCTGTCGCCCCTCACACAACTCCGTGGACTCGATCTTGATCAACCTGACCCGTTTGACCTTGGATGGAGTGCGGGCGATGCGCAATCGGACAGTTCGGATGGCGGAATGGATTTTGACCGGCTGCGTGAAGCTTTCGAAGCACTTGCAAATGAAGTTGAAGATGACGAGTGCGATGAACAATTGGATGACGACCTTCTAGAAGAAGATCTTGCCAAAGTTCAAGTCCAGGACTCTGCGGAGTGGTATCCTTTCAAAAAGGTAGAGGTGAGTTCGAGAAAAGAATCGGCCGCACTAACTCGCAACATACTAACTTCTAGATATGTTGTAGCATGTCGTGGCTTTATTGATGATCGGATCAACTTGCAATCTTCTATCACGGACCCAATACCAGCGGATACAATCGATACTCCAAATTGTCAATGTGAATCTTCCAGAATGGGGCTCGTTGAGAGCCCTAGTCAAGCAATTGAAGAAGAACTTAGGCATACAGACTCGTGAACGGACAAGCCCTTGCGGTAATCCCCTTTTTGGGTTGGATATAAAGAATGTCATCATAAATGTGAGTAACATCCTTGTTAATGTCGGTCATTTGTTTGATGAATTAAAATCAACTGTCTGTTTGCAGGAGTTGGCCAACCCCCTGGTCAGCCCTAATCTGGTGTTCGTCCCAGAGCTCACAAAAGATGAGCCTATAAACCGGCTGTCGCAGTCTAGAAAGTGGCGAGAGGAGTTTTGCCCTCAACTACGAGTCCCGATGATAATCCAAAACGAACGTCACTACTACATTTATGAGCCGGTGCAACTGCGAACCCAGCAGCTTGTAGTTCCGGCGTTCTTTTTCCAACAAGACGGCCGCCAGATGGCCAGGTGTCTGCCAGCTCTGGTGCTACCCGATCCACAAAACCCTCAACAACTGAAGATATTGATTCCCGAGGAACCCGCGTTCAATTCAGACGAAATGTTCACCATTAGCTGTTCCGAGTTTTCAAAGACCCTCCCTGAAATTGAGCTCGATAATGGTGTGTTGCTGAGTGCACTTTGTGGTAATTACATGTATCGTCAGTGTCTCCTTCACCTCTTCAGTGCCTTTTCTTGAATCACCAATATTGAAACTTTGCACTTTTGGTCCCTTCAGATCCCCACGATATGGCACGTCCGGCCCATCCGGTTCGAAACAGTAGGAGGACCCAGGCCGGAGGTAAAGTGATACGCCACGTCCCAATCACTTTATACTCAGATGATACGTCGGGCAACGTGTCCAAAAAATGGAATAAACACATGTGTTTATACTTCACCCTGGCAGGATTACCTCCGGCCTTATCCAATCAAGAATACAATGTCCATTTCCTTGCAACCTCGAACTGCGCTACCGCGTTGGAATTATTTGACCAGGTCGTGGATGACCTGAAGTAAGTCACACTCTATTATTTAATCTTATTCATATAGGGTCTTAACGAAATTTTGGCCTTTCGCAGCAACCACAGTGAAAGTGGCTTTAGCGCATACGACCACTCCCTAGGTGCAGAGGTGTGGGTCATGCCAGTCGTTCTGTGCCATCTCGGTGACTCACCCATGCATGCCGAGGTCACCAACACGCTCAACCCGGCAAACACGTTGACCCCTTGTCGGATGTGTCAACTCTCCGCCTCAAAGATGGCGGAAAAAGCAACCGAAGGATATGTCCGGGCGTTTCTAGGTGTCGATGCAAACGGTAATAAGGTATGTACATTCCCTTTGAAAACCTGAGCCTAAATCACAGCTCTTACGTGATTGTAGTCCCTGTTACCCGCGCGGGATTGGAATCTCACAAAAGCACAGACGAAATACATCTGGGAGCTGGCCCAAAAGCGCAACAACAAGACACGAGTTGAGGCCTCAATTTGTGAATTTGGCGTGAAAGACACGCTAAATGAGCATTTTACCAAAACGGTTAATGTGGCTCACGAGAGTCTGCCACCAGCGGAGGTCGAGAAGGTCTGTCATGAGTTGAATGAAAAATACGGAGAGCACATATTCAACCCGTTCTTAAGGCTGAAAGGTGAGTGATCCGTCATTGTACTACGGTCGTCAAACATTTCTAAGCTAGCACTTGGGGGGCGCAGGTTTCAATGGGCATCTCGATACCCCCGTTGAACTTTTACATGTGGTTTTACTAGGGATGGCCAAGTATATATTCCGAGACACCATGAAAGAGTTAGGCAACATCAAACCCGGTTCGAAAGCGTACAATGATATTTCGGCTTGATGGCGCTCAGTCAACACTAAAGGATTGAAGGTCCCGCCTATCCAACCAAACGTATTCGTGACTTATTATCAAAGCCTGGTCGGCAAGGAATTCCGAACGGTGTTGCAGACCATGCCATTTGTACTATTTGAATATCTGTCCGAACGCAAGCGGGCCATGTGGTCCTCTCTATGCGTTTTGAGCTCTTATATCTTTCAAACCGAAATTCCCAATATGACGACCTATCTGGCTGAATTGGATATCCACATTGGCTGATTCCTGAATATCCTAGTGTCACTCAACGCGCGTTGGGTGAATAAACCAAAAGTTCATATGCTAGTCCACCTTCAATATTCGATCAGGCGGTTCGGTCCCGCTTCCCTTTTTGCTACCGAGAAGTTCGAGTCGTTTAATGGCGTGGTTTGACACGCCTCGGTTCACTCCAATCATCACAGTCCCGGTCAAGACATTGCCAACACTTTTAACACTCGACTGATGATGCGATTATTGGTTTCAAACTCTTCCTTTTTTGACGTTGAGCTACAAACCCGGGTCTTTGGTGGTCCAAAACTGCGACAGTTGTTACTGACAGTACCCGAATTGCATCAGGCGTTGGGTCTGGACCCCAAAGTAGGAGAGGAGCCTACTTTGGTGATTGGACGTAAGAGATCTCGCAGCTTCTTTCCCGCGCACTATGGCCAACTGACCCCCAAAGTATAGGCGTGTGTGAACTTCAGACCGACCGACCGGATGTGTTGTCAACAAGTCAGCATTTCCTGACTTTGACGGAGTACCAAAGCATCAATATCAGGCGTGGTCAAAAGGTCAAAAGGAATGATTTTGTGCTGGTGTGTGTGTCCAAAACAATGATGTACGGTGTCATTCTTCTAATCCGGTTCTTCCACATTCCGGCTCAAAACGTCCGGTCATATAGGGCGTGTCCAAAGTATATGGAAGCCGGATGGCAAAGGCGAGGGGCACACATTGCTGGTACTCAAATTATGCGTTTTGGGAAACATCCTGGAGTTTTATGGGATGCGCGAGCTCCTAGTAGGTGAAGAGACAATGGCCGTCAATATCAAGGTGAGGATTTTGTTTCCATACTGTTCCCGTGACCCAATTAACGAATTCGACGACTGTCCTACAATGTTCAGAACGTTGATTGTATCCTGAACCTGCAACACAACTGTCACGAAGCGCAATGCACAATTGCCAAAAACCATCGCAAAAGAATCGAGCGGCAAACATCCTCCGTTATGGTGTGGGCGGTTCAGCACATTGACACCAACTCTTTTGTGATCAACTGCGCAGCACAGTACTCCAGCGAAAAACATCGAGAAGCGTCCAATTTAGCATTTGACCCCGTAGTCCCCGTCAATTGGTCTCGGGCGATTCACGAAGGGCTGCAAGTTTGGCAAGATGAAACACGACCGGGATCCGCAGGGGGCGGCAGCCAAGCCCGCCTCCCGGTTGGCTAGCATGATGGGAGGTCAAGGGTGACTGAAGTGGAAGGGCCCACGGAGTAGCCTGGTTCAAATGATTCATTTATGTGAATGACCTGTGTGGGTACGAGAAATGCAAGTGTGGTGATAGCACGCCAAGATCTATAACTAATTGATTGCAACTTAGAGGATCGATTCGTGAAAGCTCGAACTGGAGACACTCCCGACATATTTGGTAACAAAGATGCCAATTAGGCGTCATGCATTATTGCCACGACTTTTCATGGGTGTCTAATAAGCAGATGACGATAGAACAAATTGGCATGGACCACTATGCGGACACAAATTCCATACGGTATCCCCCAACCCTCCAAACGAGCTCCATTGATATAATCTCGAAACAAGAACAAATCCCAATTGGTGACTTGCTTTTCTCGCAAAATGGGTATGACCAACTGGATCTGATCCTCATCCAAACCCGCAAACTCCAGATAGTTGTACATGGAGGCCCTGCGAATGAGGTTTTGCAAAGTCCAGTAATCGATGTTATGCGGACTAACTTGGACTGGGAAAATATATTCTATACACGGCAATTCCAAATCAGTGTAAGCCGATATGATGTCTGCTGACGAAAAGTTACGTACCCAAAGTACCAGAAGTAGGCGCGATACTCGAACTGTCCTCTTCCACCTCAATCTTAACGATGTTGAGATTCTCATTCGATTCTAGCTCGCCAAGTTCTGGGGTCGCTCGGTCAGCGAGCTCGTCGATGGCAGGCTCTTCGGAAGCGCGTCGTTTACCCCTATAAGACGCGACATGGATGCATTCACGATGAACAAAGGCAATCCAAGGAGGGTGGTCAGACCAAAAAAACTTACTTTGCATAACCTTCTCGGATAGAGTCGCTGACCTCGTTGTGATGTTTGATCAGTGAGGAGGCGGGATCATAACCCGATGGCCTCCTTGGAGGTATTCGACATTTGGGGGGCATTTTGCATCAATGTCACGACGCGACGCAGCAGACTCTTGGGAAGGTTTCTTGGTAAACAAATCCGAAAGAAAAATCACCCCAGGAAATCTGAAACAGCCCTAACGCCATGACAACTTTTGCAAGGTGTTAGGTCTGTTTCAGAATGGCGCGACCCAACCATGACAGACGCGTTTGTCATACGTATAGCGCCAAAATTCTTTCCTTCATCCAAACATTGGTCAGCAAAACTTCTCGTGGTCAGCTTTCCAACATCCACGATTTTTTTCTTCATCTTCAGTCCCATTAGATTTGCTAATTTTCTACCTCTGCTTGCGTTAGAACGGCTATCATACAAAAGATGCAAACCAATCAATCCCTCAGTTCGTGATATTTACTTCCCTCATGCTTCGTCCAATATATCTCATCGCCCCCTCATTTTAATTTCGGTTACACCGTAACCGTTTGTAGACAACTTCTTTGAGACACCTTTTGGAGGAACTCCAGGTCAAGGTGACGGAATGACTTCCAGTGGTATTTCACTCTTTGGTATGAACAATCACGCTCAGCTGAGGAATGTCATAGGTGTGTGTTTGTGAAAACCCCACCCTCGGTCATCACTGCTCATCCCAACTTCAACAGCTTCTGGATTTGAGGAACCGGCTCGAGGTCAACACGACAACCACAGTTCCCGTCGGTCTTTAAGTCAGGTGGGCCCTGGAATGACTGACCCCGGGGACGCGCGGTTCTTGAGTGGCACCAGAGGGCAAGACGGACGTTCGATCTCACCACATGCAAGGTCATCCCAAAGTAACCCGAACCGCTTCACCTCCCGCTCCTCGTTCCAATCGCTCAACGGGCAAGGGGGTCCTCAAGGCCCACTCAACGATTACGATGGGTTCAATGCTCACCTAGAAACTCAAATCGATGACGGTGTGTACGCCAACCCCCTGCCCAGCGCAACCCGGAAGACGTTTGACGCCATGTCCAAACAGGCTGGTTTGGATTCTGTGACTCACGCTTTTGCCATGCAACACGCTGAGGTGGGCTCATTTCAAATGACCTTTCTTGACCGTGATAACATGATGATGAATCGTTATACCTTTCACCCTCCAGGTCTTTGGCGAGACTAACTGTCGCTTGTCTCAAGTCATTGTTCAAGGACGCCTCTTGATGGACGTGACCAACTTACGGTCGCAAGTTACCACTCTTACTGAGCAGATGGCTACAGTTACCGAGATTCTCCGGGGTCTTGCCGAAGCCCCAGCTTCGGCGGCAATCGAGCGTCCCGCTAGCCGCGGGAGCTCGGAGGAAACCGGTTGGGTTGCTAGTGCCCACCTCTATGTATGTCCGGTTTTATTTTGTTCTGTGGTGGGTAGAACGCTGACCCTATTCTTTTAACCAGGATGTGATGAATCCACTGGCCCTAAGTCTTCTGATCTCTCCCCAATTGACCGCGTACACCGCGGTGAAGAACCGACAAGAGGGCATCCTGCCGAATTCTTTGTTTAACGTCATCAAAGTAAGCACTATCTTTGGAAGCTTTGGAAGCTGAATGTACAACGTGTTTCTGACTCTTTGAAATCGGCAGAGTACAGTAGCAAAGGAAGGGGTGGCCTTCACTTCGAAACACCTTCCTCCCATTCATCAAGGAGTCAAAGAGGCGTCGGCCACTAAGACAACACCCGAACCGCATCGCCATATATAGCGGTTGCGGAGCGATGTCGCAGCGGTTTTTGCGTGCGCCATGGACTCCGAAATACATAGCGGAGCCTGCGCACCGCACTCCATGGCCGGGTTTTCTCATAGCGGTGCAATCGCTGCGCAACCAGGCCCAGGAGGTGTTATTCCGCTATATAGCGGAGCAAACCAAAATGGGTATATAAGCCTTAAGGTGTATGTATTTGATTCAAATTTCCGCCACTTCAACAACCAGCTTCAACTTTCAACCGATCTCAGTCAAATTTATGAAGCATCTTGAATCATCATCGTCATCATCCTTTATCAAAAGACAAATGTAATATGTTTCATGATAGGATTTGGAATCATTCAATCAGATCTCTTTGAACTGAACCAATTGCAATTTCAAAACAAATGTTACATTGAAAACCAACTAAACTCAATCAATTTTGATCAATCCTAATTCAACAAGATGATCATCAACAACCAATCACATCAATTTCAATTCGTAGTCATAGTTTGAATAAGTTTGAAACGATCATATTCATAAAACACTTATCTATCAACTTGAATCTAAACTTTTCATTACATCATCTTTCCATTTATTGTATCTAATCTTTTTCCAACTCTAACAAATCTTTTTCCGCATTTATTACAATGAGTGAGTTAGTAGAACATCCAATGAAACTCAATCACCATCCAGATATTTGGGACCACCAAAATCACTTGAAGAAAGTGCCAGAAATGCACATCAATCACCACAAACCAATCTTTGAGTTTCATCTTCAAATGGTTTATCAAGTTATCCACTGAATTTTTGTCATTGACTGATTTCTAAAAGAACTTCAACAGTTTGCCCATCTAAGTTATCAGATAATGAATCATTTCATTACACTCATTTCATTTCTACTCATCAACCAAACCCAATGATTTTAAAACCTTTATCACCTCCTTCATTTGAAGAAGGAGGGTTTCATCTTAATCAAAAAGAAGAAAGAGATGAAGAATCGAATAGACTTAAATTAAGAATTAATGATTTAGAATCGACTAATGGCATGTTGAAATCAAAAACAGCCAAATGGATGGGCATTGTATTGATAGTTGTGATAGTCATAGTTGTAATCTTCCTCATTGATAGTAGCAGTAGTCATTCTATTTATTTGACATTGACAACATGACAAAAAAGCGGCTAGTCTTGTGGTTGATATAGCGCTCTAGCGCGCTATAAAGCGCACTTATAGCGGTACGGACCGCTTCGACATCACGAGAGTTTGTTTTTTGACTAAATAGCGCAGCCAGAGCGCTCGGCTTCATAGCGCAGGCTGCGCACCGCTATGGAAAATGGTCAAATTCCATAGCGTTGCGTAGCGGTTCGGGTGTTGACTAAGACGTACTATAGTGCCATCAAAGACTGCGGCAAGCACGCGCGGGAAAAGGTCCATATCGTGGTCAGTATCATTTAATAAGATGTGTGTGTGTAATCTAATCCAATCATTGATGTGATTACACAGCTCTTGACAGGTATCCACGATCCCAAGACTGGCGAGGCGGTTGAGCAAGCGGTACCCACGATCAGGTCCCTGATGCAAAGAGTCAGTTTGATTTTGTGTTTAGTTGTCGGATATGAGCCTGATCAGATGTCTGTATGTCCGTTGTAGCTTTCTGTTCGATGTGCCACTGTGGGTACCAACTGTCATGTTGATGCAGTGTGGGCTGCCACTGATCTGCCCACACGAGCACAAATTGCTTATCTGGTAAGTCACCAAGGATCCACCTCAAGCATTATCCTTGTCGTCGCCATATTTTCTGGCTGATCCACGTATGTCGCCTCTGTTCGATGCTGAACGGTAGCGTCGAGAAGCCGCGCGGATTGTCCTCAAAGGCGGCAAAGGGAGCGAATCGATCTGGGCTTGTGTCGACAAGCAGTTATCCACTTTGCGTTTAAGGAATGATGAACTTTACACGGTTGCGTAAGTAAATACACTTGGAGTCCATGTTGTAATATCACACCTTGCTAATATCGTTTGAATCATAGTTTCTATCAAATCATTTTTGATGATGATTGCAGGTACTTTGATGGCAATACTTACTTTCAAGATCTCAAAGAAAAAAAGGTCAATTTGGATTTACCTTTGGAGGAGGCCATCTTGGCGCGCGTCGCTCACAACGCGGCTCACCCTCAAGGTGCTCCTAACCCAAGCAACATGGTATAGGAGCGGATGCACACAAAATTCTCAACGACCTTTTACTTCCATTATGAATCGAAATTAGTACGTAGGTCATTAGAAACGAAAATTGAAGCAATGCATTATGAATAGCTACGGAAGTTTACGAAGAACATGGAGTTAAGCCATATAAAAACGTTGTTACATCCTTAAACCCCCTCTCTTTGTCATTGAAATGAAATGTTTACTTGACCTGCATTGAGCCAAATCGTGGTGTCCATCTGGTGCCTGAGCAAATCCCATTTCCCACTTTTGGCGTGAACGAGCGAAATGCTTTGTCCCGCTTGAACGACCCGAGTAGCTATCACCGGGTTGGGTGTGCTTTCAATCCGGTGAATCCTCGGGTCTTCGTTCTCCTCGACCGGCGTAAGGCCGTTTGAAAGTGTGTACGAGGCGCCCACCAGGCTGCCTGCTGCCCTGGCGAGCTTTCGCCTTGCAAGCGAAAGCTCAGAGGGCCATCCCAAGGCCGCCCTTCAATGCTGGCGAGCAGACCGCCTTGGGCCGGCCACGTGTGACGGCCTGTAGGCCGTCAGGACCCTCCTGTGGTGTACTTACACCACGGGAGGGTCCTGAGTCTGAAAGTCGCCAGCCACACGCCTCTTTATGGTCGAGACCATAAAAGGCCTCAAGACCGCCATCAAGGCTGAGCGTTGCCCGCCCCTGGCCCAGTACTTGCGAGGCGGACTCCGGACGGCCGAGGTCGACCGCCCGTCTGTCGAACACGACCATCCGACCATGCGGACCGCCGACAGACCAAAAGTTCCTGCCCCGGGACTGCCCCGTCAGAGACAGCCCAGTCCCGAACGCCCTTCGAATTTGCGGACAAGTCAGTGTTTCTCAGACACACGAGACAACCCTCCCGTCCACCACATCTCAAATGCCACCTCTCCCACCATGTCAGTCATCGATCATTGAACCTCACTATCTTCATGTTTCACTGACCTATTTGTCCAGCAGGTATGACCTCACACACTCAACGCCACGGACCTAACCGATATCGATGCAGTGTGTGTCCAGGTGGCCATAGCATGAGGAATCTGTACCCTCACGCCTCTTCCAAGACCCACCTGGACGCTGTCCAAACGTTCACCACGCAACAGGCGTCTGATCGAGCTTATCGCCAGCAAGTCGAACAAGCCAGACGTCGATCTCCTTCACCGCCGAGGGACAATCTGACTCAGTTAACTCCTTCTGAGTTAAATCCGGCTCCAACTGATAGATCGGAACCACCATCACCACCTCCCTCACCTCTCTCACTGCTCCGTGCCCTGGATCTCGAACACGCCGACCCCTTCGATCTAGGCTGGGGCAATAATGGTGCAGACTCGGACAGTTCGGAGGGCGGAATGGCTTTCGACAAGCTTCGTTCTGCTTTCGAAGCTCTGGCCACCGATTTCGACTACGATGATCCCGAAGGACGCTTGGATGAAGCAGCTCTTGACGAAGACACCGCCGATGTTACGGTCCAAGACGCCGCCGAGTGGTATCCGTTCAAAAAGGTCGAGGTAAGTTTGATGTCTCTCTCGAACCCATTCTGTACTTACTGACGTTTCCAATTGTTGCAGCATGTGGTCGCGATGCTGATGATCGGATCGACCCGGAACCTGCTTTCACGCACCCAATACCAGCGGATTCGGTCGATCCTTCGAATCCTGACTGTCAAACTTCCGGAGTGGGGTACACTCAGGGCTTTGGTCAAGCGAACGAAGATTAACTTAGGCCTAATGATTCGAGAACGCACTAGCCCTTGTGGCAATCCGCTGTTTGGTTTGGATATCAAGAACATTCTCCAAAATGTGGGTAACTTCAAAGATCCTCTGGTCCGATAATTGTATCAACACACTGACATTTGGATCTCAGGAGTTGGCCAACCCTTTGGTCAGCCCACACCTCGTTTTTGTACCCGAACTCACGAAAGATGGCCCTATAAACCGACTTTCACAATGCAAAAAATGGCGCGAAGAATATCCTACACACCTCCGAACCCAGATGGTTGTCTACAACGAGTGTCACTACTACATCTACGAGCCTGTGCAACTTCGATCACAGCAGCTCGTGGTGCCTGTATTCCTCTTCCAACAAGAAGGCTGCCTCATGGCCCGGTGCCTCCCGGCTTTGGTTATCCCCGATCCTCTGAAGCAACATCATTTGAAGATATTAATACCCCAAGAACCGGCTTTCGATTCCGACAGTTTGGTGACGATCAAGTTGCAGGACATATGGAAAAGCTATGACAAAATTCAGTTGGACCACGGGCAATTTCTACACGAATTATGCGATGATTACATGTATCGTGAGTCCCTCCCTTTCATGACTTCAGATTGCATACAACTGATTCAATTGGAACCCACATCTCCATTCCCCGCAGACCTCAATGAGCTGGCGCATCCTTCACATCCGGTGAAGAATCCCTGGAGGGCCAAAGCCCAGGGTCGAGTTATCAGGCACATCCCAATCTGCCTCTATTCTGACGACACCTCGGGCAACGTGTCCAAGAAGTGGAATAAACACATGTGTGTTTATTTCACTCTCGCTGGATTGCCCCCGTCTTTATCGAATCAAGAGTTTAACGTCCATTTTCTGGCGACGTCAAACTGTGCCAGTGCGCTAGAATTGTTTGACCAAATTGTCGATGACGTTAAGTAAGTGATTCTCCAATGGTTTCAACGAGTGGATTCAAGTGGTTCACCCAATATTATTCTGCAGTGAATACGGAGAAACCGGCTTCCACGCATACGACCACACCCTGGGTGAGGACGCTTTAGTTATACCCGTCGTACTGTGTCACCTCGGGGATTCACCGATGCACGCCGAGGTCACGAATACACTCAACCCCGCCAACACGTTGACACCGTGTCGCATGTGTAGCTTGTCAGCTTCGAAAATGGCTGACAAAGAGACTAACGGATTTGTGAGGACGTTTTTGGGGCTCGACGATCACGGTAACAAGGTAGGTGATCCAAATTGAACCTTGGATGTATACAAAGCTGACATATCGTTGTAGTGCTTGCTCCCAGGGCGCGATTGGGATCTCACTCGACAAAAGACGAAGTATATCTGGGAGACCTCACAGAAGCGAAACCAGAAATCACGTGTTGAAGCTTTGATCCGCGAATTCGGAGTGAAAGACACGCTTAATGAGCATTTTGGCAAAACGGTGAACGTGGCCCACGACTCGCTACCGCCCGGCGAGGTTGAAAAATTGTGTGAAGAGTTGAATGGCAGATATGGCGACCGTTTGTTCAATCCGTTTTTGAGACTGAAGGGTGAGTGTGGAAGTGATTTTGTATTTAGGTGAAAACCAATGCTGACGTCCTCTTTTAAATACACAGGCTTTGACGGCCATGCCGATACACCCGTCGAGGTACTACATGTGGTGTTGTTGGGCATTGCGAAATATCTCCTTCAATATACGATGAAGGGATTGGGTAACATCAAACCTGGATCCAAAATGTACAACGACATTTCCGGGCGATGGAGGGCTGTGAACACCAAAGGCTTGAAGGTTCCGCCAATTCAACCAAACGTATTTGTCACTTATTATCAAAGCTTGGTTGGTAAGGAATTTCGAACAGTTTTGCAGACTGTACCTTTTGTTTTATTTGAACATATATCGCAAGAGATGAGAGATATGTGGACCTCGTTATGTATTCTCAGCGCGTACATTTTTCAGACCGATATTCCGAATATGACGACCTACCTTGCAGAATTAGATATCCAACTGAGCAGGTTCCTCAACAACTTGATTGCTCTCAACGCTCGGTGGGTCAATAAACCCAAGTTTCATATGCTAGTACACCTTCAGGATTTGATTCAAAGATTTGGACCAGCATCGCTTTTCGCCACGGAGAAGTTCAAGTCGTTCAACGGCGTTGTACGCCATGCCTCCGTCCACTCGAATCACCATAGTCCAGGTCAAGATATCGCGAATACATTCAACACACGCTTGATGCTCAGGCTTTTAATATCGGGGTCATCTTTTTTCAATCGCGAGCTCCAATCCCGAGTGTTTGGCGGTCACAAATTGGCACAGTTGTTATCCTCGGTGCCGGAACTGTACCAGGCAATGGGCCTCGATCCTGCGATAGGCATCGAAACCTCGTATATAACCATTGGTCGTGAGTGATGGCCCAGTCTCTTTAGCCACGCGAACGTGTTCGCTGAAAACCCTGCGTTAGGAATGTGCGAAGATCAAGCGCCCCCCCCGGCGGTGTTATCTAGTAGTCAACATTTCAGATTTTTGAAGAAATATCAAAGCGTCAATCTGCGAAGGGGCCAAAAAGTGGAAACCGAAGATTTTGTATTGGTGAGTCGAAGGCCAATCCTGTCCTCCTCAGTCCATATGGCTGACTTACCTTTATTTTGAAGATCACGGCGACCGGGCAAGTGGCCAGAGTGCAATCAATTTGGAAGGCAGAAGGGCAGTCCGATACGAAAACAGTGTTAGTCGTCAACTCGTGCCGATCAGGCAGGTACCATCCATTTTACGGAATGAGGGAGATTCACGTAAACGAAGAGGTTCTCAACATTCAAGTAACCGTGAGTGTCACAGCCTTGAGTTGACTCGTCCCGCGTGCCCCCTGATGAAATCATTGATTGGTTACGAGGATCAGGAAGTCCAATGTGTGTTGAACGTTCAACATAACTGTCACGACGCCCAATGTCCGGTGACGAAATCACATGTGAAGAGGATCGAACGGAAATCGGCTACTGAGAAGGTCTGGACCGTTCAGCATAACGATCATAACTCATACATCATCAACTTTGCGGCGCAGTACTCTAGCGAAAACCACCGGAAGGCTACTGCGTTGCGATTCAACAGTGTTTCTTCCGAAGAATGGGCTCAGGCCATTAACATGGGGCTTCATGTATGGAACAACGAGACCCGAGCAGGAAGGAGGAGTGTCCAACCTGATCTGGGGTCTTTCATTGGCTAGGAAACACAACGCTGTTGTCAAGGTTTGCAAATAAGTATTTACTGAGACACGTGAATTCCTGCTCTTTGTAAATCGATAGGACCGTTGTCTTTTGGGAAATGCAACATTCACAAAAATCCATGTTTGACTATGTAAACTGATCATCTGAGAATCATCATGTTGTTCGCCATGTCACTCACCCGCTGATCTCCTCACAAGAAGGAGATCACGGATAATGCATCGCAAGGTAACGATAAAACATCTCAGCATGTACCACGAGCCGCACACAAATTCCGTAAGGTATCCCCCAACTACCCAATCGTTCCTCGCTGATATATTTAGGGAATAGGAACAAGTCCCAGTTGGTTACACATTGGCCCTTCAGTATTGGCACCACCGCGTCGACCTGATCCTCATCCAACCCAGCGAACGTTAGGTAATCCCACAACGAGCGCAGCCGGATCAAACGCCGTAGGGTCAAATAATTGATGGTGAGTCGATTTGACTGATCAGGCAAGGTGTAATCTGTTGAACATAACGCTAAAACTCAATTTGGTTGGCTATCGAAAATATGTGAGAAACTCATACCTAAACAATCGTCTTCAGGTGGATCTGCGGTGGGGCTGTCTTCCTCCTCGACCTTGATCGCCACAGTGTCACCCGAAGCACCTGTTTCGGAAGGATGAGGACTGGGATGGCCAGGCTGACTTTCGGCGGCCAGGCTAGCTTTTGCGCGACGTCTAAATCCATGGCAGTATCGGTTAGTAAACACATTAACCGATAATCAAGTATAACAAATGAAACTAACTCGTATTCTTCTGTTTTCATGTTGAAATTGCTGATCTGGATTTCGACGGGATCGTAATTTGGCCCTCGTTGGGTTAATTCGGGTTGAGATGGCATAGCGGGAACCCTCACCTGCGCGAAGCTAAGTCACGCGACTTTTCCCGCGATTCGGATCACAACAAGGGGCCACGATCGATCTGAAACAGACCTAACACCTGGACCACACGTGACTTAGGGCTGTTTCATCTTTTCCTGGATACCACTTATCGACATGGCGGTCACGTCACCATGCTATTAACGACATCACACCTCCATTCCCGAGTAATCGCTGTGATCTGCACGACCTTTTACATCAAGCACTTGATCGATTTTTTTATCATATTCCACGTTCGACTTGATCTTGTTCAATCGCAAGACACATGATGCAAGGTCGGTGTGGACGGCCTCTATATCCGTTGGGCCACTCTCACTGAGCTGAACCACGCGTCTCTTGTTTGTGGTCCTTTCACTGGCAGGTAATTTTTTCGAATCTCCCTTTGGCCCGTCCCAGGGTGCCGGTGACGGAACATCAGGAAATGGTCTTTCCCTCTTTGGCTTGAATAACCACAGTGCCCTGATGAACGGACGAGGTGAGCAATATCTCAACCCAACGTCTGATCCACCGACACTCATGTATGAATCTACAGCCTCTGCATTTGAAGATCCGCCCAGAGGAACCAGCGATGCCAACGCGAGTCGTCGATCATCGAATCTGGGTGGTGCCAATTTTCACGACGTGAACACTTCACTTGCTTTCTCTGCCGGCCGCGCTCGAAACAATCGATCGGTCTCCCCGCGAGGTAGGAGCAATACCATGAGTACTGATCACCGCGGGTCTATTAACTCGCAGCCTGGTAGCCTTGGCCTGGGTCAGGGGAACGGCTTCGAAGGTCACACTCAATCTGATAGTGTGACCTATACATGTGCGCTTCCGGCCCAAACGCTCAAGGTGTTCGAAGCCTGGTCTAAAGACGCAGGGCTAGATATGGTATGGCATGAACATGCCAAGCAACAAGCTGAGGTTCGTGCCCAGTCTAATCTTTTACAATTCGTTCTCAAGAATGTTGATCCAAAATTATTACGATCATCATTTTGTAGATCTTTGGGGACGCTAACCGTCACATTGCTCAAGCTATTGCTCAAGCTCGAATCATGATGGAGGTGTCCGCATTACACACCCAAATTTCGACGCTGACTGAGCATATTGCTACAATGTCTCAGATTGTCAAGGTTCTCGCCGAAGCTCCGGCTTCCGTGCCCAACAAACGTACCAGCACCCCCACCTCGGACGATGAGGGAGAGTGGGCAGCCAGTCCACAGCTCCTCGTGCGTTTTCACCTCCTTTGACTCGCTTTTAGGTTGCACACTCACCCTTTCATATCAAACAGGACGTGATGAACCCATTAGCCTTGAGACTTCTGATGTCTCCAGCGTTGGACGCGTACACGGCCCTCAAGAACAAACAGGAGGGAATCATTCCGACTTCTTTGTTCAATGGTATCAAAGTGAGTTTTCCCCTCGTGAAGCAAGATCACAACTGTTAGCTGACACCGAGTTATTATCTAGCTTACCATTGCGAAGGAAAGTGCAGCGTTCACTGCGAAACACCTTCCCGCCGTGCATCAAGGTGTTGAGGAGGCCTCCGCGGCCAAAAAGTACTGCAGTGCTATCAAAGATTCCGCCAAGCATGCACGGGAAAAACTCCACAATGTGGTGAGTCTGAGTCTCGTCCCTTTGATGATCCAGGTGATTGAACCAATGTATTATTACAGATCTTAACAGGTATCCATGATCCTAAAATGGGTGAAGAGGTGGAGATCGCGGTTCCGAACATCCGGTCCCTGGTGCAAAAAGTTAGTGTTGCTTGCTTGAGTTAACCCTGTTTAATGAAGTAACTTATCTTTTGTCTGCTATAGGTGGCTATCAGATGTGGCACCGCGAGTCCTACCGCCCTCGTCGATGCCGTGTGGGGAGTCACGGATCTACCCACACGCGCCCGGATCGCCTATCTCGTAAGTTGATCAGTTTGCAGTTATCATATCAATTCTGGGTCTGGTATCTGACCCAATCAATGCTCTCTTGTGCATGTCAAATGTCAGCGTTGAGAAGCCGCAAGAATCATGCTCAAGGGCGGCCGAGGGAGCGAATCCATCTGGGCTTGCGTTGATAAGCAACTATCGCGCCTGCGCCTGAGGAATGATGACGCTTACGCTGTTGCGTAAGTAGAATCACTTTTTATCGGCCACTCCGGCTCACCTAACACTGACATGATTTGGATCTTAGTTTCTATCAAATCGTGTTTGACAAAGATTGCAAGCACTTTACCGGCGAGACCTACTTTCAAGTTCTCAAAGAAAATAAAATCAACTTGAATTTACCGTCGGAGGAGGCTGTCTTGGCCCCGCCTGGCTCACAACGTCCAGAATCCAGCCAACGTGGTTTAGGTACGAGAGCTTGCAAACTCTTCAACGAGCTCTTGGGAGGTTTCATGTTGAATGAAAGATTACGCAAAACAAATAGTTTACATGGATAGCTACGGAATTGTATGAAGGCAACGTCGATTACAAGCTAAAGGGATTTCCTTTGTTTCTTATGTCAATTCCACCTGTTGTTCATGTCTACGATGAAATTCACATGACAATATTAGTCCTGTGTTGCTGTGCCCTCCTGGAGCGCGTCTGTGACCCAGTGGCCTGTGCCAATGGGTGAGAGCTGGGACGAATCAGGCAAATCAAAAAACGGTCCTGGCCCCTTTTTTGAGCCCCGAACCGGTCTGCAGTGAGCTACCCGAGAGGTTTAATGCGTGATTTGTCGCGGGTTTTTTTCCTGCGTGGGCCGCCTCAAGGCGGATTAAAGGCGCCAAACAACCGGGCGTAAGGCCGCCTGCCTCTCCGGCGAGTAGGCGTCTGGCAGGCGCCAGCTCAGAGGGCCAGCTGCCGACCGCCCTTCAATGCAGATGGGTACAGTTGTTCAAGGCTAGTCTCAACCACAGCTTTATCCGCCCCGGCCCCGGGGCCCGCTCCGGTCCGAAAAGTTGGCTGTTGGAATCCCAATTTTATAGCCGGCTTTATTGTCAACATTGCGGGTAGTTTACCCTCAAGATCATCCAACACACACACTTGCTGGTAAAACTAAGGGTGTCCGATGCATTCTGCAGGAACGAGGCTTATGAGGACCCCGGTATGCTCTTATAAGGGGTACAGATCCAAAAATGTGACTTTTGAGCTCGCTCGGAAACTTGTCCCTGGCTTTACCCATAGCTTTAAGACAGGTTTAGTCTTTTTAATCAGCTGTATTGGACTTAGTGACTCTAAAATTCAGGCAGAAACAGGTAAAATCCAAGAGAATGCTGTTTAATCCCATATGCCGTATCTCCGCGCGAGCTCAAAAGTCACAATTCTAGATCTGTACCCTTCATAGGAGCATACCGGGGTCCTGGCTTATGGGAATTATATGTAACAAAAGCTAAAGAGGCAGGTAAAAATCCTGTCTTCCGTTGTGCTTCTTGTCAGTTATCCGAAACAAAACGCGATCAAGCTGCTTGTGAGGCTCAAATCCGACGTGAAAAGGAAGCACAAGAGGCCTTTGAACGGAACAAAGAATTTGGCAATCAGGCCTTCAAAGATACTGATGACCCAATGTGCTGTGCAGCTAAGATTTTAAGCTTACAGTCCGACTTTGCGAATGAGAAGCCCTTGCTTCAAAAAGTAATCGAAGAAGCTGGTCATATTTGTATATTTCTCCCGAAGTTTCATTGTGAACTTAACCCAATAGAACTCTATTGGGCGTTTATCAAACATTGTAAGTTACAATTCAATCATAATAATCTAAATTCCCTCTTTTTTCTACTTCATTTGGTCTTACAACCGTTCCTAACTGTTCCCTTTTGTTCAATCGTTCCAATTTTTTAATCGTTCCCCTTTTTTAATTGCTCCCTTTTTTAATCGTTCGCTTCCAATCCATTCTTTTTCTTTGATTGATTCTCCTTTTGATCAATCCCTCTCTTT